ATACTCACACATATATATGCATATATTGTGTGCATATGTATTTACATTGAATATATTTAACATAAGTGTTAAATATGCATGTGTATTTTATGTATGTATTTATGTAAACATGTACATATTTAAATAGTATGTGGTTTAGTGATAAAAATTCCCTAAAAGGTATGTTTCTAGTGAGGCAACTATATTAAAATGGTTCTCAAAATTTCTGTGTATGTGTGTGTGTATATGCATTTTAATTCGCAAATCAGGTCCCAGGCTCTTGTCCCTGTCGTCCTCTGAGTAAGAGGATACTTTTTACTTTATTTTTGAAGCTAGGAAAATATATACTCACAAATAAATAGAATTTGCTAAGAAATGCTATATTTATTTCATAAGAATAGAAATATATATATATATATATATATATATGTATATATATATATATAATCTTTGTTTTTTGAGACTGAGTTTCACTCTTGTCACCCAGGCTGGAGTGCAGTGGCATGATCTTGGCTCACTGCAAACTCCGCTTCCTGGGTTTAAGCAATTCTCCTGCCTTGGCCTCCTGAGTAGCTGTGATTACAGGTGCCTGCCACCATGCCCAACTGATTTTTGTATTTTTATAGAGATGGAGTTTCACCATGTTGGCCAGGCTGGTCTCGAACTCCTGATCTCAGGTGATCCACCCACCTTGGCCTCCCAAAGTGCTGGGGTTGCAGGTGTGAGCCACCAAGCGACACCCAGCCAAAGTAAGAATATTAAAATGAGGTCAGGTAAAGATAAGGCTACATTCTCACTAATTGGCCACCTCATTTAGTGTTTCTTTTTAATATAGCCTCATTAATCAAAACCAGATATTTTTTTAAAAGAGACTTCTCTCCACCCAGAACATTTTCAAACCTACAGAAAAGTTCAAAGAATACAACAAACACCTATATATTGTCAACTAGATTTACCAGTTGTTCCATACCGTCTTTCTCTCTCCATGTTGATTTTTGCTGAACATTGACGGTTACAGACATCATGACACACTTGGCCTCTAAATATTTTTGCATGTATTGCCTAAAAATAAAACATTTTTGGCTAGGTACAGTGACTCACACCTGTAATCCCAGCACTTTGGGAGACCAAGGTGGATGGATCACCTCAGGTCAGGAGTTCAAAACCAGCTGGGTCAACATGGTAAAACCCTGCCTCTACTAAAAATACAAAAAATCAGCCAGGCGAGGTGGCAGATGCCTGTAATCTCAGCTACTCGGGAAGCTGAGGCAGGAGAATCATTTGAACCCCAGAGGCAGAGGTTGCAGTGAGCCAAGATCGTGCCACTGAACTCCAGCCTGGGTGACAGAGTGAGACTCCATCTCAAAAACATAAAAAATAAAAACATATTCTGTATATACTATTATCACACCTGAGAAAACAGTTATTTGACATTGTTATCTAATATGCAGTCTATATTCAAATGTTCTCAATTGTCCCAAGTCTTTATAGCTGTTTGCTGGTTGTTTTTTTTTTTTCTTTTTTTTTAGATAGGGTCTCACTCTGTCACCCAGGCTGGAATGCTGTGGCATGATCATGGCTCACTGCAGCCTTGACCTCCTAGGCTCAAGTGATCCTCCCACCTCACCCTCCTAAGTAGCTGGGACCACAGATGCACACTACCATGCCCAGCTAATTTTCTGATTTTTTTGTGGAGATGAGGACTCACTATGCTGCCCGGGCTAGTCTCAAAATCCTGTGCTCAAGTCATCCTCCCATTTTGACCTCCCAAAATGCTTGGATAACGAGCATGAGCTACTGTGTCCAGCTTTTGTCTTTTTAAATATCCAGGATATAATAAAGATTCAAGCATTTGATTTGGTCATTATATCTCACAAGTCTCTCTTTTTTTTTTTTTCATGACACTGACTTTTTGAGAAGCCCAAATCAATCATCTTATAGAATGAATACATTCAGGATTTGTCTAGTAATTTTCTCATGATTAAATTCCAGTTAAACACTTTATGCAAGAAAACTAGGTAAAATTCTTAAATTACATCAGGAGGGTCATAATGTTACAGTGTTCTACCTTGAGTGATACTAAATTGAATCACTTGGTTATTGTGGTGACCATTGTAAAGGCAGGCACGTCTTCCTCTGTATAACTGACATATCTTCTGTAGGATTATATTTAAATTCTTGTGAAGGTCCTAGTCCACAACCACTTTTCATCCAATAGTTTTAGCATCTATTGATGAACGTTACCTGAAATATGTATTGACTGCTTTTTATGAGCACTTTTTAAAGACTTTATAAAAGTATTTTCTCTTACTGTATTTTCACTTAACCTAAATTTGGCCCTTTTCAAAAATTCTAAAATCACAAGGCAGTTTTAGAATGGTAGCTGGTTGCTGCTACAGTTTGGATGTTTATCCCCTAAAACCTCAACCCCACATATCTACAACCATCTGATCTTTGACAAACTGGACAAAAACAAGCAACGGGGAAAGGATTTCCTGTCTAATAAATTGTGTTGGCAAAACTGGCTAGTCATATACAGGAGGCTGAAACTGAACAACTTATACAAAAATTAACTGCAGATGGATTAAAGATTTAGACATAAGAACACCATCAAAACCCTAGAAGAAAACCTAGGCAACACCATTCAGGACATAGGCACAGGCAAGGACTTCATGACTAAAACACCAAAAGCAATGGCAACAAAAGCCAAAATAGACAAATGGGATCTCGTTAAACTTAAGAGCTTCTGCACAGCAGAAGAAACAATCATTAGAGTGAACCGGCAACCAACAGAATGGGAAAAAATTTTTGCAATCTACCCATCTGACAAAAGACTTATATCTAGAATCTACAAAGAACTAAAGCAGATTTACTAGAAACAAACAAACAAACCCATTCAAAAGTGGGCAAAGGATATGAACAGACACTTTTCAAAAGAAGACATATATGTGGCCAACAAACATATGAAAAAAAAGCTCATCATTTCATCACTGGTCATTAGAGAAACGCAAATCAAAACCATATTGAGATACCATCTCACGCCAGTTAGAATGCCGATCATTAAAAAATCTGGAGACAGCAGATGCTGGAAAGGATGTGGAGAAATAGGAACACTTTTACACTGTTGGTGGGAGTGTAAATTAGTTCAACCATTATGGAAGACAGTGTGGCAATTCCTCACACTCATGAAATAGAAATTTCCTCATGAAATAGAAATTCCATTTGACCCGGCAATCCATTACTGGGTATATATCCAAAGGATTATAAATTGTTCTATTATAAAGACACATGCACACGTATGTTTGTTGCAGCACTGTTTACAATAGCATTTGGAACCAACCCAAATGCCCGTCAATGATAGACTGGACAAAGAAAATGTGGCACATATACGCCATGGAATACTATGCAGCCATAAAAAAACGATGAGTCTGTGTCCTTTGTAGAGACACAGACGAACCTGGAAACCATCATTCATAGCACACTGACACAAGAACAGAAAACCAAACACCGAATGTTTTCACTCATAGGTAGGTGATAAACAATGAGAACACCTGAGCACAAGGAAGAGAACAACACTCACTGGGCTAGGTGAGGTGGGGGAGGGCAGGGGAGGGGCAGTGGGGGGTGGGGAAGATGGGGAGGGATACCACTGGGTGAAATGCCTGATGTAGGCAAGGCGGGGGGAGGTGGGGGATGGAGACAGCAAACCACCATGGCATGTATATACCTATGCAACAATCCTGCAGGATGCAGGACATGCACATGTACCCCAGAGCCCAAAGTACAATTAAAAAACAAACAAACGAAAAAATTCATGTTGAAATTTGATCCCAATGTTGGAGGTGGGGCCTGATGGGAGGTGTTTGGGTCGTGAGGGAAGATCCCTCATGAATAGATTAATGCCATGCCTAGGGGTGGGGTGTACCAGGGAGGGAAAGCAAGGAGTTCTCAATCTATTAGATTCCTCAAGAGCAGGTTGTTAAAAAAAGAGTCTGGCACCTTCTCCCTCGATCTCTTCTTCCTCTCTTGCCATGTGACCTCTGCACATGCGACTCCCTTTCACCTTTCACCATGAGTGGAAGCAGCCTGAGCAGAAGCAGATGCTGGTGCCATGCTTCTCATACAGCCTGCAGAACTGTAAGTTATAGAAATCTCTTTCCCTTATAAATTATCCAGCCTCAAGTATCCATTTAAAGCAATAAAAAACAAATGAAAACAATTGCTCTAAAGTTAAAATTAACCTTCAAGGTCTTCTAAGATGCAATCCAAATTATCTTTCAGCACTCTCAACAGCAATTCAGGACAACAAACTAGCATACCCCATGGTCCTCAAATATACCTTCTCCAGAACTCACCCCAGTCTCCTTGTCCAGGCTTCCTGGGTGGTATCCTCACTACTCATCTAAAACCCTCACATATACTTGGAAGGCCCATTGGACTGTCACTTCTAGCCCTGTCCTCAGTGGAAAGTGATCTCACCCCCGCCCGATGGACTATTTGGACTATTTTCTGCTCGTGTCTACTGCCTCATAGGACAGTTGTCTTTAAAGCAGTTATTATAATAGATACAAAATATATTTAAAATAAAATGTATAACTATGCAGCAAACGCTAGTAGACCTACCATCCAGTTTAAGGAAGTTACCATTACCTTTGAAAGACCCCCCTCCCTCAAAGATAACCATCATCCAGAATTTAATATTTCTCATTCCCTTCCTTTCCTTTGTTGTCTTATCACATTTGTTTGGTTTCCTAGACAACAGGATTTAGTTTTGCATCCTCTGGACCTTTATATAAATGGAATTATTCTGGATATATTTTCTGAAAACCTGCTTCATTCGTTTAACATTATGTTCCTGAGAGATGTTTTGTGTTATGTTACTACATTTGGCTGTAATTCAATTGTTTTCAATACTATATAGTAATCCTGTGTGTGAATACACTTTTTTAATACACTGTTCTTTTGATGGGCATTATGGTTGTTCCGTGTTCTTTTGGCTATCATAAATAGGGTTTTATGGACATTCTTACAAGCATGTATGTAGGAATAGAATTGATAGCTTTGTGGATACACATGTATTGAACTTTACCAGATAATGCCAAATTATTTTCCAAAGTGGTTGTACATCACTTATTTTTTTTATGAGTACCATATTTCTCCAACTACCTTATAAACTATGAGAGGCAGAGAACGATGTTATAATTTTTTATGAAAAAGTAAAACGTAAGAATGTTTCTGAAGCGAAAAGAAGGAAACCTTTCTGCAAATAAAGTAAAAAATTAAGGGGAAAAATTAAAATAAAATGTAAATATCTATTGATATTCCCTAGCAGATTTTAGATAATTCAAGGAAAATTGCAAATCAGAAGCGGATACTTTTTCAGAAGGGCTCTAACGTGTGTTTCGTTCCTTTTTCTCTGGTTTTTTTTTCCACATAGCCAAGGTGTTTAGTATTTCAGATGTGTTAGTTCGGTCCTCAGGTTTCTCTGAGAGTAATTTCTGTAGAATAGTTTTCTGTAATGACAGTGAGAGTCAATAGTAAGAAATAAAACACTGAAATAAATAAAATTCTGATGATTTTCAAGTGCTTACTTCTCGTTTATCAAACACATCTGAGATGATGCCATTCCGTAGGTCTCTGAAAAACTGGAAAAAAAAAAAAAGATAGGCATATATTAGGAAATTATTTACTTGGGAGGAAAAACAAACAGAATTAAAGGCTGAGGATACCTGAAATGTAGGATATTTCCAGATTTTTGGGAAAGTCTCTTTAGCCAAGAAGCATGCAGGATTCCCTCTCTCCCACCCTACCCTATGCTCTAATACAAACACCCTACCCCCACTCTAATAATCATCCTTGCAGTATGATGTGAAGTGTTAAGTGCATCATCTTCACAATCTCCCTTCATGCATTGTGGAACCCTATGTGATAGGTAGGTTCTAACTGTTTCACAGAGGATAAGGTTATTGACTCCAGGAAAGTTCCCTTTCCTGAGTTTAAGAGTAGGATATCCAGCTGGGCACTGTGGCTCACACTTGTAATCCCAGCACTTTGGGAGGCCGAGGTGGGCAGATCACCTGAGGTCGGGAGTTGGAGACCAACCTGACCAACATGATGGAACCCCATCTCTACTAAAAACAAAAAAATTAGCTAGGCATGGTGGCACATGCCTATAATCCCAGTTACCTGGGAGGCTGAGGGAGGAGAATCACTTGACCCTGGGAGGCAGAAGTTGTAGTGAGCCAAGATTGTGCCATTGCACTCCAGCCTGGGGAAAAAAAAAAAAGTAGGATATCCAGTTGCCTACTGTCTTTAGTGGGCTTCCCACTGCCTAAGCAAGAAAGTCCACATTTTTAGCTCAAATTAGCCTAACCTATCTTTCTATTCTCAACAACCACTACTTCCTTGTAACTTACATACTCCAATACAACTTACACTTACACTGCCTGCTGTCCCCAAATACACTCTGTACATTCCTGCCTCCAGGCTGAAATCACCTTTTCTGTTTTAGGCTATTAGAATCCAACAGATCCTTCAGAGCTCAGCTTAGTGTCTCCGTGAAACCTAAGTCCCTACACCTGGAAAGATGTCCCTCCCGGCTGCTTCCACAGACTTCATACCTTCTCCTAAAATGCTTATGGCATTTTCTTATATTATCTTCTCTTTTAGAAAATAAGCTCCTTGAGAACAAGCTTCTTTTTTTAGAAAGAATATCACTCTGTCACCCAGGCCACTGCAACCTCCACCTCCCGGGTTCAAGCCATTCTTATGCCTTAGCCTCCCGAGTAGCTGGGACTGCAGGTGCATGCCACCACACCCAGCTAATTTTTGTATTTTTAGTAAAGATGGGGTTTCACCATGTTGGCCAGGCTGGTCTCAAACGCCTGACTTCAAGTGATCCGCCCATCTTGATCTCCCAAGGTGTTGGGATTACAGGCATGAGTCACTGTGCCTGGCCAAAGCTTGTTAATTTCTGCAACCCTTATAGCACTTAGTACAGTGTCTTACACAAAGCAGTTAATCTCAGCTATAAAATGAGGATAACAGGCCGGGGTGGTGGCTCACGCCTGTAAAATTTTACTGACTCAAGTCTTAAGAGTCTTACGAGATGAACCACCTTCTAGGGAAGACCAAAGCTTTTGCTCTTTAACAAAGTTTTTGGTATTTCTTTGCCAAACCTTGAAAGACAGAAAATTCATATTTCATTTGCAGTCAGATACTAATATGCTCAAGCCCATCGTCATGTGAGAGCAAGAACTGTCTGCAGCAACACTTTGAAGGTAGTGGTCAATAATTTTTCTTGTTTCTTTCTTTGAGATCATTTTACCTTTGATGTTTCCAAAGCAGTGTTACATACATGAAGAAGTTCAGCAAAAATTAGCCCCAAAGCATAGAGGTCCACTTCCTTTCCATATTCTTGTGAAGAAATCTAAAAAAAAACAAAATATATTTACCATTGTTACTCTCCTTACATAAATATTCAGCCTTCTAAAGCCCCAAAAAGTCACTTGACCAAAACATCTTACATCACACAACAATGTCTATTTATTAGCAAGATCTGTGGAGTCTGACTGCCTCGGCTCAAATCTGTACCACTGAATAGCTGAATTCTCTGTGTAAATTAACTATCCGCCAGGTGTGGTGGCTCACACCTGTAATCCTGGCACTTTGGGAGGCTAAGGCGGGTGAATCACAATGTCAGGAGTTTGAGACCAACCTGGTCAACATGGTGAAACCCCGTATCTACTAAAAATACAAAAAAATTAGCTGGGCATGGTGGCAAGTGCCTGTAATCCCAGCTACTTGGGAGGCTGAGGCAGGAGAATTGCTTGAAACCAGGAGCCAGAGGTTGCAGTGAGCCAAGATCATGCCACTGCACTCCGGCCTGGGCGACAGAGCAGGACTCTGTCCTAAAAAAAAAAAAAAATTTAACTATCAACATGGGAATAATCTCAGCTATAAAATGAGGATAACAGGCCGGGGTGGTGGCTCACGGCTGTAATCCAAGCACTTTGGAGGCCAAGGCGGGTGGATCACCTGAGGTCGGGAGTTCAAGACCAGCCTGACCAACATGGTGAAACCCCATCTTTTAAAAAAAAAAAAAAAGTAAAATGAGGATAACAGCAGTATCAACCACAGTGTTTGATTGTGAGGGTAAATGAGATGCAGCAGGTAAAGCAGTTAAAATAGTGCCCAGTAGGTAACTTGCTTTGTAACTGTTCATAGCCTATTTATTCACAATATTCCATAACTAGAAACAACTCAAAGGACCACAACAGAAGAATGGATAAACACATTGTGGCACATTCATACAATGGACTACTACTCAGCAATAAAAAGGAATTCTCTGCTGGTATGAGCAACAAATAAAGTTTTTCCAGAAGACATTATTTTGAATGAAGAAATTAAATACAAAAGAGTCTATACTGTATGATTCCATTCACATGAAGGTAAAACATGGGAAGAACTAAGCTACGGTGACAGAGCTCAGAGTGCTGGTTGCTTCTGCTCAGTAGGGTGGAGTCAATGGAAAGGAGCCTGAAGGAACAAAATGTTCTATGTCTTTATAGGCTTATATGTTACACAGGTGTATGCATTTGTCAAAATGAAAAAGTATACACTTAAGATCTGTGCATTTTATGGTATATAAATTATTCCTCAACAAAATGTTGCTTTCTTTTTTTTTTGAGACGGAGCCTTGCTGTCGCCCAGCTGTAGTGCAGTGGTACAATATCGGCTCACAGCAGCCCCTGCCTCCTGGGTTAAAGCGATCCTCCTGCCTCAGCCTCCTGAGTAGCTGGGATTCCAGCAATGTGCCACCACACCTGGCTAATTTTTGTATTTTTTTTTTTTTTGTAATTGGAGTTGGAGTTTCAACACCTTTGCCAGGCTGGTCTTGAACTCCTGACCAGAGGTGATCCGGTGAGGAGATCCACCTCAGATGCCCAAAGTGTTGGGATTACAGGGATGAGCCACTGCACCCAGCCAACAAAAGGTTTTTAAATTGAAAAAAAAAAATAATAAACCCACATAATAAAAAGTAAAGTACAATGACGAACTTTTTTTTTTTTTGAGATGGAGTCTTGTTCTGTTGCCAGGCTAGAGTGCAATGGCATGATCTCGGCTCACTGCAATCTCTGCCTCCCCGGTCCCAGTTCAAGCAATTCTCCTGCCTCAGCCTCCCAAGTAGCTGGGACTACAGGCACACACCACCATGCCCAGATAATTTTTGTATTTTTAGTAGAGAAGGAGTTTTACCACGTTGGTCAGGATGGTCTCGATCTTCTGACCTTGTGATCCACCCACCTCGGCCTCCCAAAGTGCTGGGATTACAAGCGTGAACCACCACACCCAGCTAATGATGAATGTTTTTAACCAAATATTGTGAGGGCAGCAATACAGGATGCAGAAGATACTGAATGCAGTGAGGGTTTAAAGAGAACCATTGGCCTCCTATTGTGTTCTATATTTTCTATGCCAAGTGGCCCCCCAAAAGGAAAAAGTGGGTGCCTTCTCCATTCTAGACTCTCAACCATCAGACAGCTCAGTATATTTATTCTTGGATGACAAAATAGTAGCAGTATTTTGAAAGATCTATTGTCAGCAAAATAATTGTTTTTTCTTTTTTTGAGACAGACCTTTGCTCTTGTTGCCCAGGATGGAGTGCAGTGGTGTGATCTCAGCTCACTGCAACCTTCACCTCCTGGGTTCAAGCGTGGAATCTCATTTTAATAGCAAAACACAATACATATTCTGGAGAAAGATTCAAAAATGTAAACAATGTGGCCGGGCATGGTGGCTCATTCCTGTAATCCTAGCACTTTGGGAGGTTAAGACAAGTGGATCACTTGAGCCCAGGAGTCTGAGAAAAGCCTGGGCAACATGGTGAAACCCAGTTTCTACAAAAAATACAAAAAAAAAAATCAGCCAGGTGTTGGTGGCTTGCACCTGTAGTCTTGACTACTCAGGAGGATAACCTGAGTCAGGGAGGTCGAGGCTGCACAGTGGTGAGCTATGATTATGCCACTGCACTCCAGCCTGGGTGACAAAGCAAGACCCTGTCTCAAAAAAAAAAAAAGAAAGTTTGTCATAAAGACAAACTTTTAAAAACTTCATTGAAGAATATAAAAGCAGACTTGAGGTAGGTTGTATGATTGCCCCCAATGCTGTACTGGCCTCCTGGCCTCCTCACTGTCTTGAACTGGGCCATGCATTTTGCTTTGGACAATGATGTTTAGTGATGTATGCCACCGCTGAGCAGAACATGTAAAAGCCATCACAAGGTTCTGCCATTGCTTTCTGCCTTGAGGACGGCAGTGACTCAGATAGTATTTTTCCTTCAGCCTGAGTCTTGGAATGAAGGAGACACGTGGAGCCAAACTGCAGCTGGACTGCTGCCAACTTCTCATGCGAGCAAGAAATAGACCCTTGGTGTTTTTGCACCACTAGGAAACTGGGGTCATTTTGTTACCACAGCATAGTTTGGCAAAAGCTGACTGATGGAGGACTTATTATAAGTGCGAAGAAAATACCAATTTTCGAGAAGTCTTAAATATATAATGATATCAATGTTCCTCACCTGAATCCTCACATTCGATGCAATTGCTATCAAAACCTCAAAATCAGTTACGGAAGATGATAAGTTGATTCTAGAGTTCATTTGGAATTGTAAATGTGAACAGCTAAGAGCATTTTAAAACTGAAGAATAATGTGGCAGCCCCTGCTGCTCAAATACTAAAACCTAGTTTAAAATGCTACAATAATCTACATAACATAATATTAAAGAGAAAAATGTAAAATAAATCAATGAAACAGAACAAAGTCCAGAAACACATCTACGAATGTGTGGGAATTTTATATATGATAAAATAATATTTTATTGTGGTAAAATATATATAACATAAAATTTTCCCTTTTAACCATTTTTATGCCTATAATTCAGTGGCATTAATTACCTTCACAATGTTGTATAACCATCACCACTATTTCCAGAACTTTTCATCACCCCAAACAGAAACTATACCCATTAAACAAGAAGTTCCTATTCCTCCCTTCCTGATAACCTCTGTTCCACTTTCTATCTCTATGAATTTTTCTTAAAATAGCATTTAAATAATGAACTGCTTAAAACATGGTGATGAAGCAATTGCATATTCACGATGGGGAAAATCAAGTTATATTCCTTTCTCATACATATACAAAAATTAATTCAAATTGGGGTCACTTTTTATTTTAGTAAAACCACAAAATATTTTCATAATCTTGTGGTAGAAGCCTCCAAAATAAAAATAAGAAACCCAGCAGCCATAAAGAAAATATTGATAAATATGACAATTTAAAGCTGCAGTACCACAAATGTCATTATAAAGAAGTAACAATCAAGGAGAAAAATTCTCTAATAGAGTTAATAGATACAGAATCAACACCCAATATATATCAAGATTCCTAACAAATACATGAGAAAAAGAGAACTTAATTATGAGAAATTGGGAAAGGATACAAGTAGAGAATTTGCAGAAAATGGATAAGTAAATATATGAAAAAAGGGCATACCTTACTAAAAATCTGGAAAATACAAAGTAAAATAGCAAGATATTCCTAATTCAACACATGGTCCAAAAGTGACCACTGATTGTACCCCTGTTTGATTGAGAGTATGATGATGCAGCGTTCTCATACATTTTGAGGGGAGAGTATTATTGAATCACTTTTTTTTGGAATGACAAACAGCAATTAAGTTTGAAATGCACTTGTCAGTCTATTCAATCATTTCACCTCAAGAAATCAATCATAGATTATCATAGAATTATTTGTTCTTGGGCCCCAAAATAAGGAGGAAGGTCTATAGGTGTACAAAGTTGTAAACAACCTAAATAAATACCCTTCAATAAGAAAACAGTTAATTACAACCTGGGCAACATAGTGATACCTCGTCTCTACAAAAATAAAAATAATTAGCTGGGCATGGTGGTATGCACCTCTAGTCCTAGCTACTCAGGAGTCTGAGGTGGGAAGACTGCTTGAACCCAAGATTTTGAGACTGCAGGGAGCAATGATCACACCACTGCACTTTAGCCTGGGTGACAGAGAAAAAACTGTCTCTAAAACAAAATAAGCAGCTTGGCCAACATAGCAAAACCCTGTCTCTACTAAAAATGCATAAAATTACCCAGGCACGGTGGTGGGTGCCTGTAATTCCAGCTACTTGGGAGGCTGAGGCAGGAGAATCCCCTGAACCTGGGAAGCAGAAGTTGCAATGAGCCAAGATCACTGCATTCCAGCCTGGGTGACAGAGCGAGACTCTGTCTCAAATAAATAAATAAATAAAACAAATAAGAACAAAAAAATGATATTAAATAAGTAAAAAATAAAAATAAAATAGTTAAATAATGGTAGCTCTACATTTTGAAATACAGTATAGTGGTTAAAAAAAGAATGTGGCAGATCTTGTTGAACTGATATGGAGAGATGCTATATAGTCACAAAACAACAAAATAATCAAGTCCTTGAAAAATGTATGCACATATATGTTTATGTAAAAAAAAGTCTAGGTTTATATTTATGTTTGCATGTTTTTATAACTCAAAGAAAATTATCTAAAAGGATAAAGAACAAACTGATGAGAAGAATACGGGTGGAGAAGAATGTTAAGGGGAATGTTCAATTCTCATTCTATATAATTCTATACTGTTTTAATTGTATAAGAAGTGTCTACTCTTTTTATAATTTTAAAAATAAAAGAAGTAAAATATAGAGAGACAGGAAAGAAACTTTACCTGTTCTGGGCTCATGTATCGCGGAGTTCCTGTATCCTTTGTTCGCTTTTCATCATATTTCAGGGATGTTACAAGTCCAAAGTCTCCAATCTTTATTTGTTTTGAATCTACTAAGAATATATTACTTGGCTATGAAAAAAAATATTGAACTTACATGTACCAACTTGACATACTATTACCACGTCTTAATCATACACAGCAATGGCTATTTTATATTACTTATAAGACCTTTACTCCCCACCAAAAAAAAAAAAAAAAAAAAAGACCTTTACCTTTACACAGGGAGCCAAAATCAGGGAATTTAATATCGCTGGTCTTTAAAATGCCAGCTGAAACAAGTGAGGATTTCTTAGCTCACAGAAAAGGTGGCTTGGGGGCACAGCTATCCCTCTGAAAAGCTGCCACATGCCAAGTGGATTCACTCTGCATGGTCCAAGGGAACAGATCCAGGACTACAGGGTGGAAATGACCGAAAGATTTGCTTTAAAATATCCTAATATCCTAACAGTGTTGTCCAAAGAATGGGAGTTGGACAGTTCTCCATCTCAAGATAGGGCTGAACAACCACTTGAGGAAATGTTGCAAACATGAGTCCATGATCTGATAGGGACATCCTTAAGATCCCTTCTAACCTTGAGATTCTCTGAATGGGTCCATTCCCAACAATACTGCTATTAGCCTGTGCAGAATTTCTCTTGGGCTTTTTTTTTTTTTCCACGGAGTTTTGCTCTTGTTGCCCAGGCTGGAGTGTAGTGGTGCGTTCTCGGCTCACCCACAGCAACCTCCGCCTCTCATGTTCAAGCGATTCTCTTGCCTCAGCCTTCCAAGTAGCTGGGATTACAGGCATGCACCACCATGCCTGGCTAATTCTTTTGTATTTTTAGTACAGACGGGGTTTCTCCATGTTGGTCAGGCTGGTCTCGAATTCCCGACCTCAGGTGATCTGCCCACCTCAGCCTCCCAAAGTGCTGGGATTACAGGAGTGAGCCACCATGCCCAGCCTCTTGGGGGTCTTTTTTATGTCAATTTCTCTAAGCCTCTGACAACTTCTTAAACATATCCCTTCCACCTTGAAAGGATACCAAGTTAATTGGAAGATGATAACTAGCTCTGAAATATTTTTTATCCATGCAATTCTTTAAGCAGATTTTTTTTTAAAAAAAGGAAAAACTGAATAGAAGTGGTCATTCTGACTCCATAGCTTTATAGGAGGTGTTTTGTTTGTTTGTTTTGTTTTGTGAGATGGAGTCTCGCCCTGTCGCCCAGGCTGGAGTGCAGTGGTGCGATCTTGGCTCAGTGCAACCTCTGCTTCCTGGGTTTAAGCAACTCTGCTGCCTCAGCCTCCTAAGAAGCTGGGATTACAGGTGTATGCCACGACGCTTGGCTAATTATTTTGTATTTTTAGTAGAGACAGGTTTTTGCCATGTTGCTCAGGCTGGTCTCAAACTCCTGACCTCACGTGATCCGCTCACCTTGGTCTCCCAAAGTGCTGGGATTACAAGCATGAGCCGCCATGCCAGGCCCATAAGAGGTATTGACCAATATTCTGTTTGTTTGTTTTTGAGATGAGGTATTATTTTGTTGTCCAGGATGGATTGCAGTGGTGTGATCATGGCTCATTGTAGCCTTGACCTTCTCAGCTCAAGTGATCCTCCCATCAAAGCCTCCCAAGTAGCTGGGACCACAGGCCACAAAGCCTAAGCCATACTGACTTTCTAAAGACCATAAAAACGGGAAGGTAGTTGATGAGAAAACTAATATTTTGCCATTTTTGAAAAGGCTGGACTTTTAATACAATCTTAGGCTATACACAAACAGACTATGGGATAACACAGTTATGAGAAGGCCTACCTAGTAAGAAACCTAAGTGGGAAGAGACAATTGGCCCAGTAAAGGCTAAAGGAGGGGCTTCCGAGAAGCCAGCCTGAGATGATGGCCATGCAGAAATTAGCAGTTGGATTACAGTTCAACTGACAGATTGGAGCCTAACACCAATAATACAGATGGAAGGCTGAAGACAGATGTGGGGTGGATGTGGAGAGAAAATATTCCTATGCTATGCTCAAGTTGCAAGGTAGGAATATGTTGGGATTGCAAGTGAAACTGCTGGTCCCATATAAGGCTGTCTCACCTGACTCTAAGAAACAGAAAATTGAATTTATGAAGCTGTGTAAATATCCAAGCTGGATGAGACTAGTAAAAATATCAGATCACTTTTTATAGTTCATTAAAAAGAAAAAGTGGGCCAGGCATGGTGACTCATGCCCATAATCCCAGCTCTTTGGGAGGCTGTAGTGGTCAGACTGACTGAGCCCAGGAGTTCAAGACCAACCTTGCCAACATGGTGAAAACCTTGCCAACATGATGCCAACATGGTCTCTACCAAAAATACAAAAAAATAGCTGGGCATGGTGGCAGGTGCTTGTAGTCCCAGCTACTTGGGAGGCTGAGGCAGAATTGTTTGAACTCAGGAGACACAGGTTGCAGTGAGTCGAGATTGCTCCACTGCACTCCAGCTTGGGTGACAGAGTGAGACTGTGTCTCAGGAAAAAAA